AACCAAACATATAAAAAAACTGATTTCTAGTTTTTCCTTTCCCTCCAATTTCTATGTTCCAAACATAGACTTAAGAAGTAAGAACAAAGATGAAATTTATAGAAGCACAGAGATGCTAGAGATATAGGACATACAGTCGGTGCAGACGAAGCCTCGATTGGAATCTTATATTCAGGATCAAGAACTATGGTGACTGACTGATCAACAATTGTAGCTCCCTAAGATACACCAAGGTCAGTGCCTCAAGTGACAAAATACAACAGTATGGATGGATTGGATGCAATAAACAAATAAATAAAAAAACAGAACCAGCTTGGATTTTATACACTCAAGATGGTTAATTGTGTAAGACAGGTCGGTAAATAAATTAATTGAATAACAGTGCTCCACTATATTGATATTACACATATCAATACTTAAAGAATATTGATTGACAGTCAGGGTCTGTTCGGATAGAGGGGTTTGAAGGGAGAGAGGCTTGGTCTATACCTTGATAGATAAAATGTTTCTATAAAGGTGGTTGTAATGTTATGCAATCACATAATCTGTATTATGTTAATATTTCATTTTTTTAATCTCAAAATTATATCAAGATAGACTTGGCTCTCCGAAGTCTTTCCCTCTAAAGTCTAAACCCCTCCCTCCAAACAAACTCTAAATGGGCAAACATGACTGGAGATGCAAATGAACTGGCATCAATCTGGAGTTCTGAGTACACAATAAATAAGGAAGTTCTTCATATCCTTCCAATAAATCATTCCAAACAGCGCATTAGACAATACATCCGGTTTATAAAAAATTAGTGAATGCATGCGCCACTTAGAACTGGATTTTTCTCAAGTGTAAAAACATGCCTGGTTTATTGCTTCATGGGATATGTAATATAGACTTACTGAAAGAAGCACGGCAGTCTCTGCACCTTGAGGATCCTTGAAAGTTACATAAGCTATTTGAGAGCGTTCATCAGCACTATTAAAGGAAAGGTAGATTTCACGAATGCCATGAACATAATGAAGATCACTTGGCAAGATAAACCAACAATAAAATTCTAAACAAGTTGTGTCTCTTTTCCTTCATACAATTTCTAAAGCTTCATATGGTTGTGATTATCAGATTAATGAACTACGTAGTACAAAATAAGCAAAAGGCAAAGACACCAGAGAGATCTTGAAAATGTCCAGGGAGAAAACAAACCTTTTCATTTCCACATATTCGATTTCTCCCGAAAATGAAAAAAACTCCTTGAAATCGTGTTCAGAAGCACCTAAAGAAGCATTGCTTACTTTCACTGTTCTGACCTGGCAGACCACGGAGAATAAAAAAAGTCAGCTAATTTTTTTCATGGCATTCACAAATCACAATATTAACTCCCTTTCTACGAAACATGAACTATTAAACAAAACGCTCTCTCTTGCTTGCAACGATGCATCATCATCTTGTAACTGTTCCTATATTATAACCACACCTACGAAAACAATGTATCCTACGCGTGAATTCAACGATCCAACAGACTTTCTAATTGCCAGCCCACTATTATTCAGATTAAGGAACAGACTTCAATTATCCCCGTAACATCAGCCGGAAATGGGAGAATTTCATAGAACAATCAGATCAATGAAACGAAACATGGAACCCTATTTATGTCATTTTCAGAGAAACTTCATCACATTCACAACAAATCGAATCAGCAAAGCATAAAATGATTCAATACACAGAGAAAAATAATTGCGATCAAAGAGACGCCGTTGAGATACTGACCGACATCGAATCGAAGATGAAAAAACCGCACGGATCAACGGGCGATATAGATCTCTTGAATGGAGTTTACAAGGGGATTTGGGATTTGAACACTGTGTATTTCAGTTGATTTTGGAGAAGTTTGACCCAACTCTTCTTAACTCATCCAATATTTGGACAAAGAGAAGAGAGGCTTGTGTGTGTCGGGTGCTGTGACCAGACCGGATCCGAACGGGTTTGGATCGGAACCTAAATCACCAAAATAATTGATTTGATTTTACTTTCATTTGTTTTTAGATTATACTAGTATTCTCACCCGTGCGTTGCAAGACAGAAAAATTTAATCCAAGTATTATAAATCAAATAGTAATATACAAATGTAAAAAAGAAACATAAGAAAATGAAAATCTTTAGAGTTAATTATCAAAATAGGACTAAAAGTCATTCACTTTTCACAAATAGGACCAGAAAATGAACTATGTTTGCATAGGACTATTTAGGTGTACCTTGGACAATTATACCCTTATAGCTATTAAAATGTTTTAATTCCTAATAAAATAATAAAAAATAATAAAAATTCGCAAAAAATACTAAAAAATTAAGAAAACCATTTCGATATTAAAAATTTAATTAATATTTTTTTTTCAAAAAAATAAAAAAATTAAAAAAAAAATAAAAAAAATAAATAAAAACTCAAAAAAAAAAAATCGCCGCCGCCTCTGCCGCCTCAGCACCACCACCTCCAGTCACCAGGGGAAAAAAATGCCAAGTTCATTACGAATGTCATATTTATGGCAGAAAAAAATGAAAATGTTGGCATTCGAAAAGAGAAATATGCCACTTTTTTGGCATTTTCAGAAAAAAATGGCATTTTCTGGGAAAATGACATGTTTTCATCGGCCGGAGGTGGTGGTGCTGGGAGGTAGTACAGGCGGTGGGAAAGGCATCCATATTTTTTAAAATTTTTTTTTTATGGAGTTTTACTATTTTTTATTAATTTTTTTAAAAATAAAATTATTTTAAAAAAAAATTGAATTTTTTATTTTATAAAAATTTTATAAATTTTTTAATTATATTTCTACGAATTTTTGATTTTTTTTTCGAATTTATTATGAATTAAACATTTAATTATGGCTTTTGACTATTTTTAATTCATATTTAATGGAAGGGTAAGAATGGAATGCAAAAATAGGTATGTTTCCAATAGGACTCATATGGTCCTATTTTGGATTAAAAACATAGCAAGTCCTATTTTAGGTTTTTGCCATAGTTTTAGTCCTATTTGAACTAATTTCTAAAATCTTTAATTAACACACATGGACCTAAAATGACGTGAAAAAATCTAAAGATTTTGAAACGCTCCTTGGAAGAGAACAATTGAACGGTATTGTTCTCTTACAATTTATTGCACCCGTGCGATGTACAAGGTAAATGTTCTGTTTGAATTTGAACTAATTAAAATTAAATATAACACAAATACAAAAACATAATAAACTCACCAGAATCTTTTTATGTGTGATTTTTAATAAAATGAGTTAAACTTTTTTCTAATACTAATGAATTACGCTTATTAAGCAGGTCTCATATAAAGCTAAAGATATAGATAGTTAAAGCTAATATTTAGTTCGACCTTCACTTTGAGTTTTAATTAGGACACTAAAGAGATTTAAAAACAATTGTTAAGAAATGTATGTGTTGCAAGAAACTCATTTTAAAAATCTCAATTTTAAACATTTGAGCTTTTATTGCATAAAAACATTTGAGCTTTCTACTTTTCAAAATGTGATTTATGCATTTGGTGTGTGGGTGGAAACTATTCAGAGGAATAATAAGATCAGAATAATTATAACACCACGCTTGAAGTAATTTGGAGACCATGCAAACACATCGGTTTGCATAGATTTGAAAGCAGGCACTTAAAAATCATAAGACTTACGGAGTAATTATTTTATTTTTTAGACAAAAGAAGCTTCATTAATAGTTAATCAAACATTTACAGAGTAAAAAATATGAGTCTTTTTATCACTTGGCCGGAATTACAATCACAAATCCACAATTATGTAGCCGGTAAAGCAGCGGCTTCTTAGGAGACTTGGTGGCCTTTTTAGGTTACTTAACGACGGCATCTCGCTCTTTCACCAAAAGTCCAAAATCTATTAACCAATAACAGATTTCATATGAAATTCCAGATACTCTAGACTAATATGCTATTTTTATGCTTAAAAATTAAACAAAAGCTTCTGATTTGAAAACATCAATTGAGTTTAGTAAAATGCTAAAGGTACCTCAAAGTTTACCCCATTTTTACTTCATCCCTAATTGTGTGGTCATAACTAACATTTTAGTTCAGCCAATCTTTCGGTATTTTCATAATAAATTTTTTACATATAAATATGACCATCCCCAGCTACTAATGAATGCAACTTATTTAATTTTGCCAAACAAATTTATTATTAAACACAATATGTATCAAGAGATTTACTTTTTCATATGCAAAATAGTTATTCTCCTGCATCGCACGGGTATTACTAGTATATTACCCGTGTGATGCATGTGATATTATTTTTTGTTAAATGAATTATGTTCAAACACAAATTCTTAAGCTAATAACTCGAGCTAATTATAATCGGCGTCGTGTCCTGAAAATTGTCTTTATGATACTGAACAATTCTGCGGATCAAATCCCTGGGCTTATAAGCTATATATACCACTATGAATTTCTCTTGGGATAATTTGAGTTTACACCCCATTTTATTATCCAAATTAGACTTTGCACCCCGTTTTTTAAATCGTTAGTATTTGCACCCCAACCCCGTATGAAAAGACAAAAATGCCCCTCGATCAGAAATATGTTGAAGGTCAACAAAATTGTTAAATGAGGGGCATTTTAGTCTTTTCATACGTGGTTGGGGTGCAAATACTAAAGATTTCAAAAACAGGGTGCAAAGTCTAATTTCGACACTAAAGTGGGGTGCAAACTCAAAATAACCCATTTCTCTTTAGTTTTCACTTCTCCCAGCATGTTAGAGTTAACAATTTAAGTTGTTTTTCTAGATTTTTCTACATTGTTTTCTCTATCTGTGGTTTCTATTGTTTCTCTCTCCTCTGCACAAACCTCAACCACACACTTTTTACTTTATTATTGTCCGTGTCGATCAACTTTGGCAAAGTTTTGAGAGACGAAGGGAGTAATTCTTTATTGGATGAGTGAATTTAAAATTGATATGGGGCAATCTAATTATTTACCACATGGCCTAATGTGGTAAATAATGGGGGTGCAAGAAGCAACCCCCTTATTCAACCCTAGTTAAATCTGCACATCAAATTTGTCGCAAAGGCTTCGCAAGCAGTAAATTCTGCGCTTGTCTCGTGGCAGCGGTTGATATGCTTTCCTCTGAGTTAAAGGTTCGAATTATTCTTTAACAACAGCGTTCTTTTGATATTTGCTATAATTTGAGATCAGTGAATTTCTTAGTATATCTTTAATCGCTCCGTTTTCCGTTCAATCTTTCTTCTCAGCAATATATGCTTTATTAATTGTTCGTATTATTAATAATAATCTTGTTGGTGCTTGTTCTGATCTCTCAAAGGCTGAATCTTTATATGTGACTTTGTGTTCTATAAATCAAGTTTTTTGATGGCCCTCAATCTTCAGACGCTTTGCCTTATTAATGCAGCAAAACAGAAACAGTGGTAGCCTGGTGCGAGATAACATGGAAACCTGTGATGGCAGCTACCCTCTCTTTATGCCAATGGACGTGTTAACTGAGATTCTTATCCAACTCCCTGTGAAATCGTTGATACGGCTCGCCTTTGTGTGTAAATCTTGGTTTCACCTTATAAGAAGTGACCCACAATTTGCCTTGAGGCATTATCTCACAAAAACTAGACCTTCATCATCTACATTGATGGACAATGTTGATTATATTCTTGATCGCCCCGTTGTGTATATTCCAGGGCACGTTGTCACGGGAGTATGGAGGCAGTGTATTTACTCCTTAACTGAAAAGAAGACGTTTCGCCATTTGAAGACACTTGAGTCTCATCCTACGTTTGCTAAGCATACATCTAACTTATGTCATGGTCTAATTTGTGTCATAGTTTATCCTCTTGATAATGGGCCCAGAATGCTGCTCTGTAACCCGGGGATCGGAGAGGTGGTGTCACTCCAACGACCGGATTGCCGTGAAATTGTTAAAGTTGGACTGGGATACGACCCAACATGTAACAACTACAAGGTAGTGACACTGTCAGCCTCCGAAAAGGGTAGAACCAAATCTTGGATAGTGGATGTGTACTCGGTCAGAGATGGATGTTGGCACACTTTACATGGCATTGGATCCCTCGAACACTTTGACTCATACTCATTTAATGGTGAAGCTGTTTTGAATGCCAATGGAAGAGTTATTAATTGGCTGGGTTTCCATAAAGATATATTATCGTTTGACATCGTAGATGAGGTTTTTCGTGGGATAAGCTTGCCGGAATGTTTATACTCGGCCAGGTGGCGCAAACATCATATCTTAAATTCAAGTGGATGCGAGGCTTGCCTATGTTGTTCCTCTCTTAATTCAATTGGTTTTGAGGCTGGATGTTTTGATGACGTCCAAATTTGGGTACTAAAAAGAGATGTTGTGCAACATAAATTGATGTGGAAGAAGCAATTTTCCTTGAATTTTCCTGCTACAAATGTGGGGGTTGTTTCTCCTGTAAATCTTTGGATGAATGAAAATGAACTTTTTCTTCATGTGCTCAAACCGAAACCCAGTAAAGTAGAGGTGTACCATTATGACCGTACTACTAATGAGCTCAAGCCCACCGGCAGATTGGGGTGGTTTGATCCCATTTGTGGTTATACAGAGAGTTTAATCTCTGTCAAGCAACTTGTTTCGTCTTCTTATCATCTACACTCTGCTGCAGCTGTTGCTCGAGATGACGAAAAGAAAGGTCGGGCCTGTGTGATCCGAGAAGTTGGTACAAAAGAGAATGATGTTCATTGGTCATACTACCTCCGTCCCTAAAAACTTTGTCTATCTCGTAAAAATTTGGACTGATTTTGATTAGTACTGTGTAATACTATGGAAGTTATAATTTTATATTTTTATGAAAGTACTTTTAACAAAGATTTTTTTCATATCATTTTTATATTAGGAATAATTTTCAATAAAATACATAGTTTGTTTAAGTTTTAAAGATGGAGGTGGTATTAAAGTTTGCTTACCAAGCCAATCATCTTATTATAGCAGATGTTTAATTATCTCACGATTGATATTCTGATTATTCTCTAAGATAAAAACTGTAATTTGCACCACATTTATCTATCTATTGTGTGGCACTAGTATATCATTCGTGCTATTGCAATTGCAAGACTCTCGATATGAAGTATGAACAAAAGGCATGCCATAACACTATCTCAATACATATATCATATATGCTACAAAAAATGGAAAACGACATACAAATCAAACAGCTCTTTTAGCTTTCCAAGTTCTGGTGATATATTGCCAGTAAGTTTGTTAGTGATTAATTCCATGTTACAAACAAAAGTAGCAAAAAGTACTAAAATGTAGAAGTATGTGATCCCCCGTCATAATATTTTTCACATTATAACATAAGCAAAGCGAGTTTAGCCTTAATCACATTAAGACAAACTATGAAAAAATGCTATTTCATTAATAGTTAAAGCATAACACATCAAGCTGCTATCTGGAATTCTTGGGATCATGCAATATTTTGAATAACACGGTGGAATTTATCAGTTTCCCACTTAGTATCAGCAGATAGCAGTCCATATTTCTCCCGTGGTCATGACTCATAACTACTCCCGCAGCTAAACATTCTTGGTTTCATCCAACTCTTGTTGTATCCAACATCAAAAACTGCATACCCCATACACTTGACATGGAGAATGTTGAGTATTCTTGTTAGTGCTTTTCAAAATTACCGTGTGGATTTAAATTGGGATGTCTTTAATTGGACCGAAATTTTCAATGATCTGGTCTGTTTAAGTCTAATCTGGTCTGAACTGATCGAATATGGTCTACCGGATGTCTGATCCATGTGTACTTTATAATTGTCAAAGTCTGGTCTACGTGTATTTTATAACTGCCGAAATTAGGTCTGATGTGATCTATTTTAGTCTGGCTGATCTGATTAGATCTAGGATTGAAATCACTCCAAGTACAAACACTTTCGGTCACCAAAAAACGCTTTAAAATGAGAACTGATAAGGGAAATAATTAAACATTAAATGAAAGTAGTAGAAAAATAACCATGAGTACGACAGTACGAGAGATGCTTTAAACATTTTCCAACATTGCATGCTTTTTCGATAGAGTTTATTGCGCTAGTTAAACCTCTTTTAATTTACCATTATTTCACATTAATCACTTGTGCAATAGGAATCCTTTTCTTATTCTCCGAGACATGACCAATGAATTCATCCCTCGAATGTGTAGAATACGGTTCTCCAAAAAACATGTGTCTTGATGTTATAATGTTATAGTGTACGTAGTATTAATGATCATACAAGTAGATGTGCATGATTTAATTATTGCACAAAAGAGTTTGACACATTTTTTGAATCACAGTGAGAGAGGTTGATGTATTAAACTCTTTTTGATCTTTTGAGAAATATGTTACTTTTCACACAAAAAAAGACGTATCTTAACAAACATCAACTTTAATTTGGGGTTTAATAAATCAAACCCTCTCGGAGTAATAAATTGTCAAATTTTGTGTGCTATAATTAATCATGTACATAACACTTTGGAACACTAAATTTATCAATTTCAAAATCACCAGTCTTAATGTTGTGATTGAACATGCAAGTAAAATTTGTCAAAACTTCTAAAGTATAAAATACTAATCATTTTTCTCGTATTTGACAATTAGGCCCTATTTGTTAGCAAATGATTTTCACATTATTGATGCATCTGAAATACTCAATTCCTAAAAACACTATTGACCGGAAGGAAGTATCGAGGATAAAGATGTCTTTTAATTGGTTAATGGTATGATAATAGAATTCAGCCAAAAATGTAGGTGTTGAGCTACTTTTTCAGCTTATAATAAAAATAAGCCAAATCAGCTCATTTAACGAGCTTTTGGTGATTTTTTTGTACATTGAGACTTATAAGCCCATTTTTATCCTCCAAAGGGGCACTTAATCTGTTCTTCTGAAGGAGTTTAGCGTATTAAATGGTCTTTTTATTGCAATATTACTATTTATATGTGGATTACGAAAAAATGAGTAGACTTTTAAAAGTTCAAAAATATGATCAATCATCCGTTACACACCAACTAGAAAATATGGTAATATTAAAAATACATTTGATGAATTTTAATGCTAAAAATTGAAAGAGTTTCTCTAGCCACCCACAACAATGGCCACTGCCACCACCGGCACCGCCAATAGTATTGCCGCACCGTTGCCCAGTGACTTGCTCTGGTCATAGTGACCACCACCTAATTACTCGCTCCGGCCATAGTGACCACCTTGCTCCCTCGAGTGACTTGCTTCGGCCATAGTGAACCCCGCTCAGTGACTTGTTCCGGCCGTAGTGACCACCTTGCTCCTCCAGTTACTTGCTCTCAACACATCCAGTGACTGCCACCTTCCCATTCAAGTAACCACCTCTGTCTAGTACTGCCGCCCCACTCCGTTCAGTGACCACCACCTCGACCACCGGCACCGCCAATCACTATCATCGCCTCCATCGCTTAACATTTACTTAAGAGAATAAATTTCTGCCTCAGATCTGAGGAGATGGATGGTGAACCGCCGGATAAAGAAGGAGGAGAAGAAAACGAGGAAGGCAATCAGATCTGCAACGAAGAGGAATGACGACGATCAGTGGAGGACCCAGAGATTTGTCAGAGTAGGGGCACACTAGTAGTGAAATTCTTGACCGGAAGCGGGACACTGATTTTACTCTAAGTACTAGTAATGAAATTATTGGCCGAAAGCGGGGGCACTTGCCCCCTTAGGCCCCTCCCTAGATCCTCCATCCTCCACTGACGACCATGACCAACAGTGGCGGCAAAGAAGAGGCGTCGGCGAGGCAAGACGGCGACATCGAAGAGGCAATGGCGAGGCGAGGCGAGACGGCCACGAAGAAGAAACGGTGGCTCCTATGAAGTGAAGTGCTGGATTGAAAAGAGGGAGGCCGCATCTTTCAATTAATTTTTGGTCATATTTTAAGGAAAGAAGAAATGAGGTCATTTTTTGGGAAAGGTAAAGATCATTAATAATATTGATGCAATTCTTTCGTATTAAATTCCTTTTTTTAACCGATTATAGATAATCAACTACTCCGTAATTTTTAGTAACTCATTTGCATAACTAGATTTAGAGAACCGGGTCCAAGGCAACCTCCATTTTTTGACAGCCATGGGTCATGTACTCATGTGTGCCCCAACTTAACCACCTTCTCCATTAAATTATCAATCCTAAAGGTAAATGCAGTAATTAGTGTGATTTGATATACTAATTTAATAAGATCCTTTAACTCAATTTCGTGTGCCTTGAGCTAAAAATTACCCTATCGTCAGTGGCGGAACCAGGACACGTGACTCGCAGGGGCACAATTAACAAAGAAATGATATAATAGTCTAGAAAAAAAATCATAGGCATCACGAATATAGCAATAAACAAAACTATAAAATTAAAATAAAACAACTACTTAAAGAGTACCTTAATTTTGATTAGAACCTGACGTGGCAAATGACGGACAATCATTGAGAGGCGACAATCTTTGTCTTCGAGATGCCATACTCTAAAATCGCCTCATTATGACTTCATTCTCAATTTTAACAAATACATCTTTCTCAATGTAACACACCAAGCAAACTGTCATTCAAGTGCGTGGATGGAGGAAGTTCCTGGCGTGGGCCGCGTGGCCGCGTGGGCGGTGGGCGCAGCCTGAGTCGCCTCTCCCCGTGCTGCGTGCACTCCGTGCAGCCGTGCAGGGCAGTAGGCCAGTCGCCGGGTCGGGAAAGGCCAAAAGGGGGGATTGGCCGATTGGGGGAAGCGGGGAAGTGGGAACTGCCGAACGGGATTTGGGAAAGGGGGGAACGGGAATGGGAAAGGGCCGGGGAACGGGAATTTGGGGCTTTGGGCCGCAGGGAAAGGGGAAGGGGAAGGGGAATTGGGCTTGGGCTGCGGCCCGCAAGGGCCCAAGTTAAAAAAAAAATTAATAATATATATATATGTGTGTGTGTGTGTATTTAAAAAAAATCACTGGGGGGCCCGGGCACCCCCTAGCCCTAGGGTGGGTCCGCCCCTGCCTGTCGTAGTAGAGTGAAACTCATGCAACCTTCTCCAGTTGATATAGAAAACTTACAAATTTGGAATTAGTTCAACTTATTTATTTTTCACTTTTTGTTTGTCCTAATTCACACTCAGTTTTTATAGAGAGAATTCTTTTAATAGGAGTAAAAAAGTTTTGAAATTCCTGTGGAGGTATTGGCCCATAAGGCCTTGGCAGCCCTTCTCTCCTTGTGTGGGCCTGTTCGCTAGCCTCTTGTCCCGGCCCATGTTGTTTTATCGCTAGCCCTCTTCTGGAACCTCTATTAGGGTTCCATGTGACCCTCGGTATTTAGGCCCTCTTCGTCTTCTCTTTGACGCTGAGGTCTTCGGTTAAAGAGAGAGTGAGGTTGGAGAGATAGAGAGAGACTCCAAGTCTCTTCTCCTTCCGGTCCCTTTGTGTTATTCTCTCTGTGCTTCCCCTTTTCTGAACTTTGGCGTGCATTGAGATGGCTGGGCTGGCCTTAAAAGTGATTGTCCCTTCCGGTGGTGCTTGGTTGTGTGCTGTATGAGCGTGGTCTGAGCTGGAGAGGTGAAACCTGACAATTCCAAAATATAACTAACATGTTTTTTATTCCCTGAATATGAATAAATATATGTCAAGTTTGGCATTACTAGACTTTAAACATGGTAGATTTCCCAAATTTAGCATAATTACTTCTATTTAGGAAATAAAAACATGAAAGTTCAATTTTGGAATTTCAAAACATTTTTACTCCTATTTAGCTAGGGCAATTTCTATTATCAAATTGATAATTATTTTACGGAGTATATAACACCATATATGGAGAGAGAAATTTTACAGTAGTATGTACGGAGCAATTGAGAGAATTAAACATGTATATACATGTTAATCACTTACTATTCCGTATATTATATTTGATTCGTA